ATTACAAGCATTGTAATAGATTGTAATATATTATACACTTCGATACTTCATCCATGAAATAAATTATAGAAAAAATAGATATACCAAAAACTGTCATTTGACAGCCAAATACGGTTAGACTACTACCTTTTCTTGTGTATCAATGATATGTGTATATATTGTTCACAGTCAAGAACTTGAAGACACTAAAAAATAAAAAAAATTATTCCATGATAATACTCACTATAAATTAACAAGATACGAGTAATTGCTATTATTGTATGCTTAAAACTTCAGATTAAATCTTTATATTCCTTCGTGGGAAATGTAATATAATAGAATAGATGGCGAAAACTGTGAATGATTTGTGGTAGTACGATTAAACTCGTAATCGCGCTACCATCGCGACTATTTCTGGTAATATTTTCACTCTTATAGAATTTATTGTGTATTTCGCGGTTGTTTTAGGGATAATGTGAACGTGGGTTGGTGCCCATGGAACATTGAACCACTTTATTCGTCCAGGTACGTGGATTATTTTAGAAAAGATAGCTATGTTTTATTGCAAAGTTTGCCTTTATTAAAAGCTAACTAAGTACCAGTTAGACTGTTACTCTTGGTGGTACAAAATAGAATATCACAAAATTCTCTTCTTGCTCCCGCGGTTTCTGCTCTAATTAATCTTCTAGATTCCAGGATCCTCCTAAGCTTTCATAGTCCAATCGTAGATTCGCTTCCGCTCCATCGAGGATTCTTCTCCCGATTCATTCCACCCCCGGGCTATTGGTGATGATTGTTGTGTCTGGCAACGTGATGCAGACGTACAAAGAGAAAGTGTACAGGATCCAAGAAAGGGAGAAAGAAAACAATCTATAACGAAAATTATGATCCTCTTAAAGCACTAGCTGACTAAGATCGAATATCTTCAGGAAACAGAACATTTTCTAAAGATCGTACATGACTTGAAGGTTGGAAGTTTAACGTCCGATACCTAGCATGAAGCCTTAAACCAGACGACTCCCACGAGCATGAGATTGAAACGCCACGTTACAGGATTGAACGGAGTGACTTTCTACACTCTATCAATTCTCCAGATTGGTATCGGAATTGTTTTAAGACGCAGCTCACCTACCGGCAGCCTGGAAAGGAGTTACTTAACTAATGGCTTTAAACCACTTCCCCTTTGAATACAACACCAATTCAACCAGCCGCCGTACGGGAGAGCGGGAAAGAGCATCCGTCCACATACCGTTGGACAATCACATGGAGGGCGGGAAAACCGCCACAGCCCTGTAGCATGACTTGGAAAAGTTGGCTGTTCCGAGGTACCGCTTATTCACATCATCGGTGGGATGCTCGTGGTGAACCCCACATCACTCCCAGTTGAGTGACCTCACTCCTCTCGACACTGATCAATCGGCGCTTCAGGTACCGGGGAATCGCTAAGCCTCAAGGCTCTGGTACAGGATCCCTCTGCTGGAACCATACATGACTTAACCGAACTATTAATTTGTTACAGGCTAAACACAGAATTTTCCAAACAAGATATTTCCTGTCTTTTGAACTCAGACTTTCTCCTCGCCATACCACTCGCATCGAATACTTAAATAATCTACAGATACGTTTCGCGTTTCGTATACGCAAGCTAACAAATTAAAACTTCGTTCCTAATTTACATATCGATATCGTCAAACCAGGTTATACTGAATTTCCACCATGTTCACATGTTAGTGTAATAATATTGTGATGTTTCTAGGCGTTCTGGGCTTCTCAGGCGAGCACTTACGGATCTCTCGAATTTCCCAAACATCAGAGTGGTTCGAACGGTGGCCACCAGATCGTATCAAATATTCTCAAATCTTCAATTTTCTCGCAAGTACTCGCTCCAGTTCTCATTACCATATAGGGTGTCTCAGCTAAATGTAGGGTTGCCATCCGACCGGCTTTACTCGGATTTGTCCTAATTTTTAAGGTGTCCGGGGAGATTTTCTGTAGTGATTCATGTTTTCCGATGTTCGTTTGCTCCCACCGATCATCCGTGTTATCTGTGCGTTGCGTGCGGTGATCTAGCATGCGTCAGACGCACCTCTACTAATATGTATACTGAATAGTAATGCATTTGTTTTTCTAGGAGTGATTTTCAAGTGTTGCGTTCGCATCAGACGCATCAAAAGCAGTCTAAATGCAAACGCAAGAAAGAAGTTTTTATCTTGGAATATCGTAATTAATCTAAAAAATAGAAACAGATAGAACGTAAAAAACAGATTTCAGACAGAAAAGTCCGGGGTTTTAATGCTCTCTATTCTACATTAATGACTTTATAAATAGCAACCCCAGCTAAATGAGATCACCTAAATGTTTGCCTTATTTATTATCGTATGAAAAAAACTAAAAAAAGGCAGAGTTAAACTATTTCAAAGGGCACATGTAACGGTGGAAAGAATTTTTTCTCCAGGTCATTCTTTTAAATGGAATCTTATACTTTTTTTCGATATCCTTATAGAGCATTAAAAACATTCAACGACCTTAATAACTACATTGTTCTGATCATTTAATCTCGAATACGAATGTGTGATTCGATGTGCTGCGTAAATTTTCAGGAAGTTTTGGTTATCTTCAGACGCAAATATGTTGAAATTAAGTGATCGGAACGGTGTGGTTGTTAAGGTCGTTGAATTTGTTTTTCTATTCTCAATAAGGATATCGAAAAGAAGTATAGGATTTCATTTAAAAAAATTCCTTGAAATCTCGTGTAAGAAATATACGCCGAGCCTCTAGCTTATGGGTAATTTTATTTTATTTACTATATGGATGGATCTTATGCGGATCAAACTTTCGTTGATATCTCGTTAAAGATTAGCTTTAGGACAAACAATGTTTAATACTTTTATACTTAGAAATTAAAAAGCTTTCGAACTGCCGTAAAAAAATTGGGCATTCCACTTAAAAAACAAAATTGATCTTCAAATCTCCTAAACGCCCCCACTTATAAAGAAGTCGTGTGCAGCACGTGATGTCCCTCTTGATACCATGTACCTAACCTTTGTAGAAATCTTTTTTTGTACAACGCATAATTTAGAAGTTATTCGAGATGATCAAGTTAGGTGCCTCACCCTGTATACGTAAATTATGGAATTACGTAATATGTATGCAAGTATGTATAGTCGGGGCCACGATATAGCGAGGTCGTAAAATCGGTCAGACGTCAAAGTAAACATGTTTTAGCTGCCGGGACCCGAAAATTGACAGAGATACGAGCAGATAAGTACTTGAAACCATTGTCAGGACCGTACGAAGAATTCTTGTATCCAGCGAAAGTCAACTGATTCTAATATATTTACTGAAAACTGCATGCAGCTAGGACAAATTAGGGTTTCTCCCTCTGGGGGAAGCCGCTTTTGGAAGTACGGTTACAAGTAAAGGTCTTATTGAGGTCTTTAACATCTTCATTTACCTGCTCGTGTTATATACAGATAGAAAATGCAAAAGGATTGTGTAGCTTTAATATTAACATATTTTCCATTTGTAAATGAAATACCATTTTCTACTTGAAGTACCAAATCATATGCTACCATTCGTTTATTGTTGGAACCCTCAAACAGACTGCAACACACGGCCTTGAGTGCCGCAACATCAATCGGTGCCGATTCTTGAGAGTTTAATTTACGACCTCGCTATATCGTGGCCACAACTATATGTATATATGCATATGCATTGGAAGAATATAAACGTACTTTCAGTTTTTTGTGAAGGCTGGGGGTGGTTTCCAACTACGCAGACATTAGCCCTGCGAGCTGATTTTTGTCCCGTTCTTTCAAGTGGCAAGAAAGACATTAAATTCCCATTCTCCTGTCTCTATTTAGCTACCTTCAGTAACTTCTTCATTTATTTCTAAATGAACTGAAGCAGGAGGAAAGCAGATCGGCTACTGAGGCCATACGGAACAATACCCTTAAACTGTAATAAAGTACATAAAGTACATAATTAGCAAACAAATAAGGCAGAAAATACCTTATACATAAGAACTTGTTTCTTCCCGAAGCTAAAATTTATAATTGGGGTTCTTTCATACGCCTCATAACACCCACCAAGTTTTATCTCAATTGGCCACTGGAGCCATTCGGCACAACAGTCAATAGGAATGACTTTTTGTATAAAAAACAAAGAACAGAAAGGAAGAAGGTAGAGAAAAGGGTATCAGAACAAAGATAGATTGTTTTAAAACAAACAAGTAGCATTCGTGATCCGACGGTGAAAGATTAAAGCGACAATTATGAACATCCAATTAGTCATTCATAATGGAAAAGTAAAATTTTTATACTTTTCACTGAATCTTCGTATTCAGATGGATTGCTAAGATACTCCCGACGAAAATGAATCCTGACACGAACTTGTTCGAATTATGTTAAATTATATGTAAACTTGAGTGACCTTCAAATGTTCGAAAAAGTTATGTTAGATACTCCAAGACTTTCTCTTCTAAGAGTTCTGGAAAATGTCACCATTGTTTTCTTTCCGAATTCTTAAACCCACTTGAATGTACGTGACTTATTGTTAGGCAAAAACATGAGGATTAGCTAGTCAAGGGCCTCCACCATAAATTGCGCCCTTTTCAAAAATCCGAACTTTCCAGAACTACCGCATTATATCTACCCTTGCGCACGCATTTTCAGACAGCAAAAAAGTTGGTGTTTTGAAGTCACACTCCAATTCCGATCATCGGACCTGTATCGTAATAATAATAAAATCACTTATCTAATAAACAAAATTCTACCTCTCCGGGTTCACGACAGTTACATATGAAAACTATACATGAATTTTTATTTTGATGTTCTTTAGGTAAAACATTGTATTTAAAAATCTGGGAAAATACCATTATATTCCTTGAAGTTTTTGTATACAGCGTATTAATTTTTTTCATGGGATTCATTTAGACATTAATATGAATTTTATATGAAATTTCATATGAATAATGTTGAATTTGAACGACCCATCCCCACCACTTATACCTCTAGCTCACCATACCAAAACAACACATTGCAATAAAAATGAATAGATGTTGCGAGAGTAAGCGTGGTACTTGCAGGGGATAACATTGCAATGAATCATTCAATAACGAAAATTTCCCTTTTTATGTTCCAAACATGACATAAATCGGACTAGTATTAACACATTTTAACAAGCATCTTAATATGGTAATACATATGTACTGTCCGATAAACCTAAAGTGAAGCCTCTGACATCACACAGGGCTTAAAAGTGGGAGATGTAGGGGAACTTGCGATGGCTCGCTGTTAGTAAGCCAATAGGGATAGAATAAGGCTATCGCACTTACTCTTCTATGAACAATAGATGACGAGCAGGTCTCGTTCGAGCAGTCGGTAAACAGATGAGCAGTCGATAATTGACCGGAATGATATTTTCAAGTGCTCGAAAAAAAATTAAGTTTACGTCGCACAGATACCATAAACAGGCAAACAGATGCCTGCGCGACGCCAAACGACGTGCATCATGGTAAACTTTATTTTTTTTCCCATGCTCCCAAAATATCTCTATCATTTTAATAAGCTTATTTTACAGGTTAAAATTCAAGCAATCCA